AATCTTTAATCAAATCTTATCGGTTTACTCGCTTAATAAGCTAGTATAACATTTGTTTTAGACGGCGGAAGGCTGTCTACACTGTTTCGAACATGGCTGAGTCTACAAAGAGATCAGTTCTTCTCAACAAGCCCTCAGACTAGGATAACTGGCTATACCTTATCCGCTCACGTGCGACAGCACTACGTATTTAGGAAGCAGTTAATCTATCTAAGTCTACCAAACCAGATCAACTTTAAGAACCTACGCTACCATCTTTACCTACTTCAGGAGAGGCAAATAGCTAGGCACAATTTCAAACCGAATTCACTATCTTTCGCCACCAAACAGCGGCATTCGACAAACGTAAGAAGGCTCTCGTAGATCTCATAACCTACATCTAAGAATCGATCTCAGTCAACAATCTCTCTTTCATTACATCAGTTAAGACCCATCCATAGGACATCCTCAGAGCTCTATAAAAACGCCTAGCGCCTACGGATCAAGCACGGCTTATAGAGCTAGAGCAGCAATACCGTAATCTTTACAAAACCCCGAAGGCTCAATCAATCGACACATAGCTACAGCAATAGGAGAAGCTCTACACCGAAGCAAAGAAGCACTAACTTACTAAAGTATTAGGCAGCAGGCCTACTAGAGACTTTCTAAACGCTCTTAAGCCCATCGAACCTCAGTTTACAACCTTAATACAAGTTAAATTAATTAATAATCCCGCTTTAATAATAGATCTATACGATCTCATCGAGAAGTTTCGCCAGTTCTATAGAACAAATAAATCTTAAAAGTTAACTACTAGTTCTCATTCAGCCTTCTAGGCAAACTTCCAAGGAAAACAGCTTAAGCAGAAACCACTCTACGACTACGGAAAGCATCACTTTTAGAGTAACTACTACTACTACAATACAACGATCCGTCTAAGAACTTTCAAACCAAATCAGTCAATTCAGGCTACTATTCAAGAAAAGCTCAAAGATCCAAAGCATAAGGAGCGTATAGACGCTTCAATCGAACGAAAAAGGCGACTCAATTAAATAAAAGAGCCAGATCAATCAACAGAACAAGAGGACCCATTAAAGAAGCAGAACATCGCCTCATTTCCCTCTCACTTCGCTTCATTTCCAACCGTTCAATACTCTCTCCAGGACTCATAGATCCTAGATTCAGGATCAAACACGCATGTCTACAACCATACAATAGCAGATAGATTCCAACAATCCCGCAAGGCCATAAAAGGCGAATCACTCATTTCAGGAACCCACGTATCTCTAATCAAGGCATAGGGAACTATATCCATTTCTATAAAGACAGAAAAAGGCGAAGGCCTTATTACGCTCAACAACGTCGCATTCGTGCCAGAATTCAT